TGGGGATGCCTCATCTAATTGTGCACATTCATTAATCAATCTAGTCAACTAGATATCCTGATGTTTTCCTTATTCTTACCACTCTGCTTACTGACAAATGATTAAAATAAAAATGTCTTGTCTCTAAGCCTGAAGCCTGGTTACATAATCTTTGAATTCTGAAATGAGTCAGAAATGCTGTTTATCATTAAAACAATGAGATGGGAATAACTCTGTTCTTTGGTAACACTCTGGCAGTTCTGTCTTCCCTTCATTTGCAGCTTCTGGTGTTGCAGACCGCCCCGGCTCTCCTGTGGTGAACTGCCAGTGAAAGGCTATATCAGACATGACTGATAAAAAACTCTCTGGCTCAGTGTGGGGATATAGAACTGTGAGGAAATTGATTAAATGGTCAAGTAAATGCAAGATTGTTGTTTTAATTTGGACATCTTCACATGAAGTTCAGTGGAAATCAACCATTAGGAGATTTTTTTTTTTACTGCCGCTGGTTATCACTGCTGTGACTCAACATGAGCCTGTATTTAGCTGCTCCTTTCCTGACTTTAGATCTGTACAGATCCTGGATGGAGGGAAGTTGGCAAGTACAGTCTCTGCTGAGCCTTTGTCTGAACAAAAGCTCCATTTACACTACCCTTTTGAAACCTCGGCGAGAACGGTCCCAGCAAACTGAACGCAACTTAATTGGACAGTGCCAGACACAACTGAACTGCGCTAAATCTAGTACTAGTTCAACAGTAGGAATCTGTTCAGTTGTGGCTCGGTTCTCTGATAACAAAGAGGGCATGAGCAGACCACCTTATCATCTATTCACAGTCAACCGACTCATTTTGCAGGTTTTACGGTGTGGACGGCTTTAATATGAAGAGATCTCTTCACCTGTTTACAACACGAACTTCTTCTCAGCTTATAACATTCAGTCTTCAAAAGAGCGAGGTGCGACCTGTGATGATGCCAAGACTGAGGCTCTCATTGAAATTTGTGTGGAAGTGCTATCTAGGCACATAATTTTGTAAATGTTATGGCTGCAAACATTTTTGTTTCCATAATTCCTGTCTTGAGAGCTGTATGCTGGTGAAGATTCTCAGCCATCCAGGTCATAGTCATTGCAAAATTGTTAAAAAACAATCCACTCAACTTTGTTTTCCAAGTTTGAAGAAGTTTTGCTTTCCATCCAGGAAGCTTTTTTTCAATTCAACTTGTCAGAATTAGAGTTGGGTTCCAAGCTTTATAGAGTGGCTTAGACATGCAAATTGGAGAGGAAGAACAGGCCTGCCCCTAAGGAATGGGGAGTTGTGAGGTCCTTGTTAGCCTGTAATACCCAGTACTGGTCTATGCCTCTGAAAGTGGAGGGGTCGTTAGAGTCATTGCTGGCCAGGCTGAGCGGACAAGTTGTCTTGGTCCCCTGCATGGCCATGATGATTATGATAGCTGGAAGAGATCAACTCTGTTGCTGCGTTGAAGGTTTTTGAGAGCTGAAACCTGAGTCCGCCCCCTCTGTTAAAGGTTGGCTTTTTTCTCTTCACATAAATGTCTTCCTTCACACCCCTTTCAAACCATCTGTATTCTTTGTCCAAAATGTGAACATTCTGGACCTCAAAAGAGTGTCGTTTGTCCATAAGGTGTAGATATACAGCTGAGTCATGTCAGGAGGAGGTAACTCTCCTGTGTTGAGCCATGCATTTGTGGAGAGGTTGTTTGGTTTCTCCAATATAAAGATCAGAGCATTCCTGCTCTGATCTTCACTGCATTGAACTGCATATACCACTGCTGGCTGCTACTGTGCAGCGCCTGGGGAGCAGTCTGGGGTTAAGTGTATTGCTCAGGGACCCAGAGTGGCAGTCAGAACCCCCGGGCCCCAAGTGTAATGCTCCAACCACTAAGCCACCACTCCAAACTTCAGGAGTTTTATAGACATGTTCCATGAGGTTTAGTCATGTGTGTAAAAGGAAATTTTAGCAGGTAGAGAAAACAGCCCTGAGGGCCACCAATGCTAACAGTTCTTGTGTGGTATAGTATTAGTTCCTCAGCCTCGCCAGATGATCACATTGAGGGTTGGCGTTGGGAGCCTGATGGAAACTTACTGTGAAACTGGATTAAAAATACTTGACCTACTATAGGGAGGATATTATATAAAGATGTTTGGGTCATGAAGCTGAAGTGCTTTATAAACATTAGCATACACATTAATATATGTGATTCTCCCACATCTAATTCTTGAAGATTTTAAATGTGCAACTTTTGACCTTGGTATAAAGGAGTACAATCTCTTCTGGTTTTTTTTTCTTTCCATTAAATTCATTTTACACTAAATCATCATCATTTCTGAGGTTAATAATAATAATTTACTTTTGCTTGTTTCTCCATTGCCATAGTTTAAAACAGAAACAACTGCTTCTATAATATTACTCCCACTTGTTTTTTCATAATACATCCAGTTAAAGGTTTCATATGACCTTTAGATAAAAGATTTTATTTATGAGAGTAATGATCTGCTGTATTGGATTTCTGTATGACTTATAAAGGTTGTGACCAGGAGAACTGTACTCCCTCAGTAAAACTATGCTGCTTTGCTTTCTCTTGAAATAATAATGACTTGCAGGTACAGCTGTATGTTATACAGGTGCTGGTCATAAAATTAGAATATCATGAAAAAGTAGATTGATTTCAGTAATTCCATTTAAAAAGTGAAACTTGTATATTATATTCATACATTACATACAAACTCATATATTTCAGATGTTTATTTTGTTTAATTTTGATGATTACAAATGACAACAAATGAAAATCTCAAATTCATCATATCAGAAAATTAGAATATTGTGAAAAGGTTCAAAATTGATGGCCCCTGGTGCCACACTCTAATCAGCTAGTTAACTCAAACCACCTGCAAAAGCCTTTAAATGGTCTTTCAGTCTAGTTCTATAGGCTACACAATCATGGGGAAGACTGCTGACTTGACAGTTGTCCAAAAGACGACCATCGACACCTTGCACAAGGAGGGCAAGACACAAAAGGTCATCGCTAAAGAGGCTGGCTGTTCACAGAGCTCAGTGTCCAAGCACATTAATAGAGAGGCGAAGGGAAGGAAAAGATGTGGTCGAAAAAAGTGTACAAGCAAGAGAGATAACCGCACCCTGGAGAGGATTGTGAAACAAAACCCATTCAAAAATGTGGGGGAGATTCACAAAGAGTGGACTGCAGCTGGAGTGAGTGCTTCAAGAACCACCACACACAGACGTATGAAAGACATGGGTTTCTGCTGTCGCATTCCTTGTGTCAAGCCACTCTTGAACCACAGACAGCGTCAGAAGCGTCTTGCCTGGGCTAAAGAGAAACAGGACTGGACTGCTGGTGAGTGGTCCAAAGTCATGTTCTCTGATGAAAGTAAATTTTGCATTTCCTTTGGAAATCAAGGTCCCAGAGTCTGGAGGAAAAGAAGAGAGGCACTTCATCCACGTTGCTTGAAGTCCAGTGTAAAGTTTCCACAGTCAGTGATGGTTTGGGGTGCCATGTCATCTGCTGGTGTTGGTCCATTGTGTTTTCTGAGGTCCAGGGTCAACGCAGCCACATACCAGGAAGTTTTAGAGCACTTCATGCTTCCTGCAGCTGACCAACTTTTTGGAGATGCAGATTTCATTTTCCAACAGGACTTGGCACCTGCACACAGTGCCAAAGCTACCAGTACCTGGTTGAAGGACCATGGTATCCCTGTTCTTAATTGGCCAGCAAACTCTCCTGACCTTAACCCCATAGAAAATCTATGGGGTATTGTGAAGAAGAAGATGCAATACACCAGACCCAACAATTCAGAAGAGCTAAAAGCCACTATTAGAGCAACCTGGGCTATCATAACACCTGAGCAGTGCCACAGACTGATCGACTCCATGCCACGCCGCATTGCTGCAGTAATACAGGCCAAAGGAGGCCCAACTAAATACTGAGTGCTGTACATGCTCATACTTTTCATGTTCATACTTTTCAGTTGGCCAACATTTCTATAAATCCTTTGTTTTTATTGGTCTTCAGTAATATTCTAATTTTCTGATATGATGAATTTGGGATTTTCATTTGTTGTCATTTGTAATCATCAAAATTAAACAAAATAAACATCTGAAATATATGAGTTTGTATGTAATGTATGAATATAATATACAAGTTTCACTTTTTAAATGGAATTACTGAAATCAATCTACTTTTTCATGATATTCTAATTTTATGACCAGCACCTGTATATATAACCTGTTTCACGTTTGATTGATTGTAATAGTTTAAGGCTCAGTTTATTAATCGATTCAGAGCAATCCCAGGTTCCTGCTGTGGATGATTTAAAGCACAAGACTCTCTGTTCTGCATCGCTGTCTGAAATGTAAGGGTTTTCATTGTAAAGCAGGTTTATAGACCGTAAGGAAGCTTTAAACTATAAAATGTTTCTCCTCTATCATGGTCAAAAAGTAATTTTTTAAAGCTTTTTTTTTAGCAGTCAAATAGGACTGCAACATTTTGGAAAAACATGGAGTGAAGACATTACTGGTAAATACTGTGATGACATTTTATCGGTATTCTTCTTTTTAAATCATACGAAACTACTCAAAATGTCTGTTGTCTTGGTGATTGATATCAGCTTTAGACATCAGCATTAGAAACAGCAAAAAATAATCTTGATCATAAAATATAGATTGGAAGCAGTGTCTGTTAGAAACTCTGTGGCCTTTAAATATTACATAAAGCATTTCTTTGCAATATTGCAACGTTCCACAGACTGATTTTGTGGTGATGATTGGGATTCAATGTATTGTGGTGTCTAGTTCCAAATTATGAGTTTATTTCACACACTAATCCATTTTTAATTGTATTGCTACGCTTTACTAAGTTCATTTATGTACATTTTACAGCTTATTTATTTGTTTACTGTTGCTCTTTCTAAAAAAAAATAAAAATGAAAGCATCCCATAAAATCTTAGAATTTCCTCATTGTTTCTTTTTCCTCCCATCTCTCATAGCTGTCTGCTACCTCCACATCCAGAGCTGCCTTCTTGCAGTGCCTTCGCTGGGGAGTTTGGTGCCCCTTCCAGGACCTAGCTGACTGGAAAGGCAAAGAGGTGAAGCTTGTTCTGCAAGGAGGCGCACAGCCGAACCCCTTTGGAGTGATGGTCTACAGCACAGAGACATCTGTCCAAGCTCCTAGCCCAGCGGCAGTTTCTGCTCCAAGCACAGTTCAGGTAACACAAAAGCTGAGAAGTATTGTCTTGTTTGAGGAAAAAAAAACTGTATGCATGGGCAAGAAAGTAGAAAAAAATCTTAAGCCTTGAGGGTTTTAGGAGCAATTTCTGCCTTAAAGTTCCAATCTGATATAAATCAAGTACAGCCCTAAAGTTATAAAGTATCAAGGTAAAAGGTATAACTAAAATTATTTTTAACTGGAACCATGATTGTTAATTCAATTCAATTCAGTTTATTTATATAGCGCCAATTTAAAACACATTTCATCTTAAGGCACTTTACAGTTCACAAAATCATACAGTCAAATTGATTCAACGTTTTCTATCTAAGGAAAACCAGTTGATTGCATCGACTCATTGACTTGAAGGCAATAGCTCGCACTAAGCATGCTTATAGTGACAGTGGTGAGGAAAAACTCCCTTTTAACAGGAAGAATCCTCCAATAGAACCAGGCTCAGTGTGAGCGGCCACCTGCTGAGGCCAAGACAGAAGCAGAGATACAAGAGGCAACTATAAAAGGCGGCCCCGTCCAGGAAACACACAGCCAGGCAGACGAGCTCCGAGCCAGCTCCCATGTCAGAGGATGAAGAGAGCACATCCAGCCAGTCATGGTCAGAGAAACAGGACTACACTGAAAAAGAGGCAGATCTCCACCAGGCAGAATTTGTATCTGTAAAAAAACAGAGCAAACATCAACATTTGTGTTCCTGGCTTCAATTATTTCCAAAATAAAACAGCATAATACCATGTAAACCCCTTTAAAACTTAGATAGATCATCTGAATTTCTAAATCCACTTCTTGACAATAAGTGAAACAAATCTGGACTGAATCGTTGGAAGACATTTGATCCATAAAGGTTTTAGTGGCAGTGCACCAGTACCTATAATTTTCAGCTAAAAAAAAATCAAACAAACATTTGCAAAATGTCAAACACAAACTCTGATATCCATCATAGTGCCCCTTCTGCTGTTTTTGTAGATAAGAGTTACCCCCATTTGTACCATTGGAAACAGCATAATATGAACAAAGGGAGGAGAAAATGAGCTGAAAGTTTTCCTTTTGTCTCAAACAGCAAAGAAAAAAAAATATATATATTTAAAAAAAACATCTATAAATTAAAATCCTATGAGAGAAACAAAATGACCCATAACCAATCAAGGATATGAAAAATACAAAATTGCATCTTGTAGGCAAATATGCCGTTGCCAAATATCAATCTATCTATATAACACTCATGAAAACAAGTTCACAAAACCAAAACTTTAGAGAAGATAAAAAAAAAGAAATGAAAAAAAAAAAGAAATGTAAATTATGTAAATACTCAATAAAATGCTTTTTAGATAATTCAACCTAGAGTAAAAGCAAATCTTTTACTCTAGGTTGAATTAAACACCATCATTTATTACATACATTCTTTGGAAAATGGCAAAATACCATAAAATGACCATCATATTCTAACTGTAACTAACAGTAGTCAATATATAACTAAAGCTGCTGGAAATAAAAATTAACTTAATGATCTTCTTAAACTGGGTCCTGAATCAGCTACTGTTCTTTTTCAAAATCCGAGCAAGACTCTGAAGATATTTCTATCCCGACATCTCTGTCCCCCATTTCCTTTGGTTAGTTTCTCCCCTTTGTGCCATTATGACAAATCAGAAAAAAACAAACCGACTGCCGACCCATGTGCAAAGCAGATGTGGTCAGGTCTTTTAAATTCTTTAATACACAAGAAATTACATCAACAGAAAACATTAAAAAAAGACATACTATACCTTGTTGGAAATGCTGGGGCTCTAGTTTCCAACATGCTAGCCATGTGGGGATTAGGTGGAGAATGTCTCCATAGTGAAGCATTTTTCAGAGAGTCAAACATTTCTGACAGACCGCTAAATGGCATCTCCTGTGTTTAGAATGCTGTAAAACCAAACATTCTATTCACAAAAGCAACTGGTGACATATTTTAGAAACTGTTTTTACAAGGTTTAGAAAGAAATTAAATATTCTATTGTTTTTGACTAACTTTAAAGCTGGACAAAACAGGACAAAGCCCCGCCCCTATTGTCCCATACACTATAGTTAATGTTCTTAGTATTCACACTGACGAGTAATTGGCTGCAAATTGTACCTTTTTAGACCTATTGTCCAGAGAGGTGAGGGTGCTCCGATTCTTCACACCTTTGCTGTAAATTGTCTCACAGTTTTAGTCATTACTGTTTTCACCAGCACTTTCTGTTCTGTGTCTTCCGCTCCTCTGGCTGCTGTTTCAATGATTATACTTCTGACCCTTCCCTCCAGAAGCCCAGTTGCTCCTTTTAACAGGGGTTAAAGGGTTCTTTTAATGTTTCTTTTTCAGGGCTCTGACATGTCTTCTGCTTTCTACCTCACAGGAGAAGGATCTGATGAGATTTTGGCTTCAGTCCAGTGTGGAAAAGAAGCCATCCAGCCCAAAGGCATCTCTAAAAACTAAGCAGGAGGATGTGACACGAGAGAGAGCTTCACCTATACAAAGTAAACATTACAGTTTATGTATTGATTTAGGCTGAGTCTGATGCTTCTGGTGATTGCACAGCTAGTGCTGGTTTAGATCAATATAAAGTTTAGTTAGTTAAACTTCTGATATTCAACAAATGCCTGGTTCATACTGCAAGATAATCATGCTGGTTTAGCCCTGATTATCTTGTTCCACTTATAAGTATGGCTCTAAAGATAATCTTACGGGGAATTCCTGTGTTAAGAGTTAACAGCTCAGATCGAATATCCTAGCATGTGTGGTGTTCCCTAGACAAAGAACCACTCTATTGAATGTGACATATTCTCAATCAGGAAGCTTTTCCAGAGGGGAAAAAGTGCAACAACTCACCAGAGCCCCTGCCTCTGCTGTCTTCACTCCTTAACTAATCCCTTCACTTATTAAGATGTTTTTTTTCTGTCAATATCTGTCCATAACGAACTCCATTACATTTCCTCGACGGTCAATTTTATTTACTCTGAACTTATGTTTGATCCCAAGAAGTTTCAAGAGATTTCCCATCTAAAATCAAATTCTTTCCCCACTGAATGAAATCTGTGGTGTGGGACTAAACCCCTTTTATCCGTGATTTTTTCCTGTTTAAAAAAACCCTCAACAATTTTAAAATATCACATTATATGAGCCTAGTGGCAATAACCACTTACTGCATAGTATCTCTTTTCCATTATTTGCATGTTAACGATAGTAAAACATAAGAAATCAGCTTATTTCTCTAAAAGAATTATAAGAACAGCATTTAGCATATTTCCCTATTGCCTTTATTCTGTCAGTTGTGATTAATTAGAGGTGACATCACACATTTCTTTTAAAACAGACAAAATTATAAGAGAGTTCCCATTTTAAACTGTCTCCATTATCTTTTTGTCACTGACTGGTGCATGCAGGTTTACTAACAGCAGTTTCTGCTTCTCTTCCCATGAGAGGGGAGATTCTGCTCTTCTTTCTTTTCTTGTTGCCACTTGAACAGCAAGCGTGCCTCTCAATATCACAGAAAGCACTTTAAAAAAAAAAAAAGATATGTCATTAAGCACATTACTGATAATGATAATAAAATATTTGGTATTTTCCCATATTTAAAATTACCAAACTAAAAAATGTGTTTGTTGATTCCATTTTTAAGGCTTTGCTATGAAGCATTTGTTTGAATCATAATAAAAGGACTGTCCTAAAATGTGACCATACAACAGAAAGTAATTAAAACAGGGAGCTTTTAGTTTTCTGATATTGTAAATCTACAAGAAAATAACCAAGATTAGGTTATTTTTAAGGTGTTTTTGTCTGTTTCTTTTAGCCTTCTTAGAATGATTAGAAGATTCAAATACTCTTTATAAACCTCATGTTAGGCATGAACTTAACCAAACAACGCTAAAAAATAAAAAAAATGTTTGTTTCATTTTTTAACAGTAAGAGCCCTTGACTATTTTCCAAAAATAAAGCCCCAAAAACTCCATTAATAATGTAATTAAATGTTCAGTAAAAGTCAACTTCTTTACAGAAGCAATAACTTCTTAAACCCAACAGCCACCGACCATTGAACTAAAACCTCAGCAGACTTCAGGCAGTTTAAAATGTTCTTCTGGTTCACTGATCCAATTGATGCATCCTCAGCTTTCTGATGCCCGCTTCATCCGCAGATACAGTCAGAGCTTCGTACATACAGTAAGGAAAATTTGAACACACTGCCATTTTGCAAGTTCTCCCACTTAGAAATCATGGAGGGGTCAGAAATTGTCATCGTAGGTTCATGTCGACTGTGAGAGACATAATCTAGAAATCACAATGTAGGATTTTTTTTACTATTTGTAATATGCAGTTGCAAATAAGTATTAGAACACCTGAGAAAATCAATGTTGTTATTTGGTACTGTAGCCTTTGTTTGCAATTATGGAGGTCAAACGTTTCCTGTAGTTTTTCACCATATTTCTGCACACTGCAGGAGGGATTTTGGCCCACTCCTCCACACAGATGTTCTCTAGATCAGCCACGTTTCTAGGCTGTTGCTGAGAAACATGGAGTTTGAGCTCCCTCCAAAGATTCTCTATTGGTGTTCAGATCTGGAGACTAGCTAGCTCATGCCAGAACCTTGATATGCCTCTTACAGAGCCTCTCATTGGTTATCCTGACCGTGTGCTTTGGGTCATTGTCATGTTGGAAGACCCAGCCTCCACCCATCTTCAATGCACCTACAATGACAATTTCAGTCCCCTATGTAATTTCTAAGTTGGGAGAACTTGCAAAATAGCAGGGTGTTGAAATACTTTTCCTCACTGAATCCACATTCTTTGGGTTGCACAGGCGATCGGCAAAATTTACACATGAAGCCCATTTTATCCACTGATCCTCACTACTTCTAAAAAACATCCACTTTCAATGCTCTAAACTTTTTTTTTTGTATACACAAGAACAGTTAAAACAAGTATGTATTGTTTTATTATGGCTAAATGTTTTTTTTTTTTTAAGCAATATGATTGGAACATTGAAGGTGTATTGTGACCTTATAACCCCAGCCAGTGTCGGTTATAAGAAAAACAATAATGTCCAGATCATTTATCTGCCTAAAACTGCAATAAGTGCGCTTTTATATGTGTATGGATTTTATCATGCTAGATCAGAGAACATTCTGGGTTGATGCTAAAAATGGGCTAAAAGAATGACGTCTACTTGTAAACTGAAGAGCTAAAGTTGGTCAGTAAATTGCCAAAAAGAAAAGAAAAGAAAACTATGGCAGGAAACCTATAGAGGGCCAATTCAACAAATCAATGAATACATGAATAAATAAATGTGGCTATTGATAAATTATTAATAAATATTCTATGAAATAAATAAATGTAAACATGAAGTTTAACTAAATGAATATTTCAAACAACATTTTTATTCATATCAAGATATATTTATTTGTAAAGCTACTTCCCAGGATTCTGTGACTTTTAAAAAAAAAATCCAGTTTTCATTTTCATCTCTTACCATTTCATTTTTGTTATATTAAAATGAGGGGGCGGGGTTTATCTACCTATAATAATCCAGTTCAAATTATTACTTTTAAATATTTTGTTTATCTTGATGATATGATAAAGTTCATCCATCTATATTTACTAACAGCCACTGACCCTATTTTGTCAATAACGGTGGTTTATTGTTAGGTAAGTGGGTCCTTCCCTCAGTGTTCCTTTTTAGAAACAATAGGGTTACTAATCTGCTGCCCTCATCTTATGGTGGGACTTGACCTCCACTTCCACTGAGTGTTCTGGAGACTGGCTGGTCCAACCATAGCCTGCAGCAGAGGGAGAAGCAGTTCATGTGCCATGGGCATTAGAATACATGACTCTATTCACAAGCTGCAACACAGGACTCTTAGTATAAAATGCATCCATGTTGAGCAGATGACCACTTCTTCCTTCTGGTACAGTTTTCTGGTAATAATTTGTTTAACAACACAAACAATTTTATTCAATTCTTTTTTTCATTTCAGAATTATATGTAAAGCACTAAACTAAAGGGATTATTACCTTTTTATCCACCATGGTGAAAGAGCTTCAATGTGCAGATATGTAGCATGGTATATTTACCTCTGAGGCTAATGTGTAATCGTGCTCTTTTTCTCTCCAAGTGAAGAGATCTGAAAGTAAACTAAACATGGGCCACATCCATGTTTTATTTTTAGTGTTTAGCAAAGCTGTGGCAGGGAGAGGGATTTTTAAAGGTTTTATCGGTAAACGCTGCTCTGTAAAATTTACTTAACAGACCTTCGTTATTCTGCCCCGATAAATTAAACTCGACGTTTCGACAACATTCTTGCCAAGTATTAGGCAAGTATCCTGCTAAACCAGGGACTGATCAAATATTCCGCTGCAGCTCATAGCTGTGGATAAATGATGTGCCACTGTCTGCATGTCTAATCGAACCGTACCTCTGATTTGTTGTGAGGCTGATGGTGAATTGATTTAAAGTGTAGTAACGTAGCCACTCAATCCCGGCGATGAGGAACTCCAGTCCACCCTGGTTGTATAATTGATTATTTCCTTCCTAATGAGAATGTTTACTTAACATAGAGAGAAGAATAGGGCTGATCAGGGCCTACGTCACAAGAGTGCACAGAAGGCGTTTGGCTGCATCTATTGATGACATCTTAATCAGTGTTTAAGAGCTTTTACAGAGTGGTGATGGTTGTTTTCGGTGAGAGTGATATCATGGATATCTTTCTTTTTGATTTCAGCATCTGATGGATGTAGCTGATCTTTGATGGATTTTTTCAGGTCTGCCTCTGATCGTTGCGTAATATAACTATGTCACAGCCCTCTGCTGATTAATCAGGTAGTGTTACATTCAGTTCACACTTCATTTCAGGCTTCTTTTTTTCTGAAATGGTGATTTTTAAGGCTTTTTTTTTCTTCCTAATTTTAGATGAACAGTTGTTTGTATATGATTTTGATATTTTATGTTGAAAGATCTCATCATCCATCCTGCCTTCAAAGGGATATTCAGCCAACTTCAGAATGAGTTATTTATAACTGGCATCTATGTTACATCCAATAGGAGGATTGAATATTCCACTCAACTCCTTACATTTCCATCAATAGTTAAATTTCTTATTCATGTGTTTCCTATAAGTTCAACAAGACGAGAGGCAGAAAAGCTTGGAGTATATCTTTGTTTTGATCAATTCAAAAGTGTGCATCTCTTCCCAACATGTAGGGAGCACCGTTATGTTTTATTTTCTTTCATTTTTGTTCGTAGCACTTTGAGATGCAATAATAGATACACTAGCATTATTATTATATGATTAGTATTATTACAACAATATCCATCTCTTTGAAGCCTCTTTGTTTTTTATAACCACTCTCAAACTGCTAGCAGAACATGCTATATACTAATTTTAATGGATGGAGCCAAAATGGTTTGTACGTCTCAACATTTGCACAGTAAACCTTGTAGATCACCCTCAACATGTCCGCCTATTGTACCTAAAAAATAGTACATTAAAGTATGTACATACAATTCAGTGCTTATTTGGAATGTTGAAGATCAGACCGATAGTCTGTTAAATTAGGATTCTGTTTGGACCTTTTCACAGTTTATCCCATGACAACAACAAATGTCAATGCTTCATATTGAGATTTGTTGTAATAGACTATCACAAAGTAAAACATTATTAAGAAGTAGGGGACGGCTATTAGCAGTTTTGTCTTAACCAATATAAATCTGGAAATCTTTGTATTCAGTCTTCTTTTTCCTCAAAGCTTGAGATAAATTCCCCCAACTAAGCTGTGGGTGTCTGCAGCTCCTCCAGAGCACAGTAGATTCAAAGTCCTTAGAAAGGTTTAGTGTTTTTCCCTGTTCTACTTTGAGCGTCTTTTCTGATTCTGTAAATACTTTGGGTCCTGTCAGGTTAAGGGCTGGTTATAATCCCCGAAGCAGTGTGTCGCAGTGAGCTTGTCGCAGATATTTTTGATTTATGCCCAATATTGAAGCTTGGTCTGCTTTCAGAGTATAAATCAGCCTTTAGGAGGATGTGTGGTCTGGGTGATGTGCAGGTCAGTGGTTCCCTCTAGAGATGGGGGTTGCAAAAGTAATACCGATTCAGTTTACAGAGTATCCCACCTGAGCTGTGGATCTCTGCAGCAGTTCCTACCTGTGTCTTGGCCGCTTTTTTTAAAGGATTATCTTCTTTTTCAGTTTCTCTCGATGGGTTTTCACTGATGCCATACTCTTATAGTTGTATGCTAAAATTTCTTTGACAACTCATTTGTAAAATGAAAGTTAGAAAACCATTTATATTTTCCTAACTGTTTGCAATCATCCACAACTTAGTGTCTGTTGGTAAAGTCCCAAAGAACACATTGAAATGATCGATTTTAACACCCTAAACATGGAAGGGGTTAATTGCATGTAAATGCATTCCTTGTATGTTAGTTGCCCCCCATGCAGCCCACCTTTCCTAAAACAAACAGCTGTCCAACTCTGGCTGGGGAGCTGTTTGTTCAGCTGTCAAGATGGCCACTCATTGATCCCAAACAAACGGCCAATTGCACATCAGTCCTTCTAATGAGGTGAATCAAATTCTCTGTGGGCTCCGAGAGTATAACAGTGAGAAAACAGCAAGCCCTAAAAAGAAAATAGTTGCCCGGGGGGTGATGCCAGAGTGAATTTGTGAGAGAAAGCCAGCCAGCCCCATAACATGTCCACTCTGTATGCATGCAGTCTGAGCAGATGGGAGCTACAGCAATACACCGCAGGCAACTGAAGCAATTTCCAAAAGGCCAGTCAAGCCCAGCATAAAGAGTGAGGCAGAGTTGGAGGAGGACAAAGAGATGCTGGAACGCCTTTCTTTTCAGCATTGCCATGGCTACCTTCCAAAAAATCTCAAGAAAACATTGCTACAGTTTAAATCCAGCTAGCTTTCTAAATCTAACTCTGGCTGTTGATCTGTGTGAAATTGGATAGATTTGTCATGTTTGTAACTCGTTAAGGGATTCCAGTGTTTGGGGGGTTATTTACTTTGCTGGAGTTATTCAGTACACGTTACGGCTTATTCTTGTAACCCAGGATGCCAGATTGCTTTGAATCCAATAAATAGGGGAATCATTTCTAAAGGATGACATTTTGCACCTTTTCTATTCCCTCCTCAAAAGCTCATATTGCATTAAATGTTTAATTAAACTATAAAATCAACCCCTGCCATATAACCATGCATATGATAATAAGGGGGCATTATTTAAGCTTGTTAAACTCTGAGGTGGAGAAGTTAGTTTGCTGCCTAATTACTTATAAATACAGGAATACAAGAAGAAATAAATCGTTTATATAAGTATATTGTAAATAGGCTTGCTTGGCTTCATTTTTTGTAAGTTTCTAATATGTGTTTTTTTTTCTTTGCAGGTGAAAAACAGATCCCTTCCTACTCTGTTCTTGATTCCCCTCAAGGCCCCGGGGTAAGACGCCTTATCACCCTTATTTTCAAGTCTGATAGTTTGAGACTACCTGAAATTCTTTTTCTTCTTTTTAAAAGAAATACATTTTTTTTTTTTTTTTTGCTTGAACTTTTCACCTCCTCTTACATTCCAATCATAAATTCATCTTTATTTTATTGGGATATTATGTAATAGAGACACAGATATTAGTTGATTAACACATGATTTCAAATTTTCTTTGACAAACAGAAATGTATGTCATGCACCTGTGTTCAGTCCCATCCAGCCCAAAGGTTTTGTAAAGAGGTCACTTTATTATTAGTTAGATTCCACAAGTGTGTAATTTAATGTCTCTAATCATCCCTTTGTCATGAAGACAATGAAGTACAGCAAGGGGTACCAGGAAAAAAAAACAACCCAAGAATAACACAATTTAAAGCTTTGGACTTTTCATGAAGTTCTGCTCAGTCCTTTGTCCAAAAATTATTAGTATACTACAACTGCATAATTCACCAAAACAGCATTTTTTTTAAAGCAGTGAAAAGCGAAACATGTAAACCGTGTCCCGTGTACATTGAATGAGCTGCAGAGAACAACTGCTCAGGTGCAAGAATCCATTAACAGACCCTATGTAAGTTATTCATATCAGAAATTTGGCATCTATCACTGCAAAAAATATAATCTAAATTAGTCATGTTTTCTTGAAATAAGTGCATTTTTTCTTGAATTGAGGAGGTAAGTGAGACACTTTGCCAATGGACTAAGACCAGTTGCCTTTGAAATAAGAAAAAAAACAATTGCCTTGTCTTATTTCAAGTTCTTATAACCTTATTATGTAATTTTAAGAGTAAATATACTAATTACAATGGAAAATCATTTAACTACTCAAATTAAGGGTAAATACACTTAATTTAAGAAAATTTTATTTCTTTCTATATGGTTTTGCAGCTGCCTTATTTATAGCTTTCCACCATCAAGGAAATGTGTTTCTGTATCAGAGAGGAAAACTGGTCAGAGTTAATAAAAAGATTTCTAAAGCTAAATGCTGGGAAATCCTTATGGGAAATAAGTTTAATGACAGGTGACACGTCTCTGTGAAAAAAATCCAGAACTGAATAGAAATCTTTATTCTAGGAGATAAAATGTATGTTTTTCTGACACAGTCCATCCTGTCTGATAGAGATAGAGACATTTCTCGAAGAAATATGATAAAATCTTACATTTCTAAATATGCAAACCCGGTAAAGATTTTCCTGCAAAAATTGCAAAAGTTCACTCTACAAAGGGACTGAACCAGATGCACACCAAACAGCTCTCCTTACACTGAAATACAATACTTTTACTTTGTGGTCAATCCAAATACAATATATTGAAGTTTTTGGCAAACAAACTTTGAGGTATATAAACACTTTTATAGGGAAAGCTAGTTTTACAAAATATTATTTGTTGTAGGTTGATTGATAGATCTGTCAGCAACATATGCAATGACTGCTGTAATACTGTTATTATTATTTGCTCTTATGCTAAGTAATTTAAATATGTTTTATTCCTAAATAAGGACACTTTATAGTTATTAATTTTGAAATAATAATACATCTAACTCATTTCAGAAATTAGAAATTTTTTTTATTTATTGCTTCCCTAAGTAAAAAGACAAAAACTTTGCTCTTTTTTTCAATTTTTATTGAAGCATGAACAAAACATACAGAAGTTTGACTTTGAATCCCAAACAGGTAACAGTTGTTTTTTTTGGCAGTGTTACTTCTCCTCTCATGGCACATGTATATCCGCATCATAAGAAAAATATGTGACACCTTAGAGGATTCATTTGTTGAGTAAATTAACTAATAGGTTTCATGCATATCATGGTAGAAATATAAATATATTTATTCAATAGGGAATCGTTTACTTCTAAATAGGCCACTCTTTAATTCTCCTGAGCTGCATGATGTTTTTGATGATAAATACCTGAACACTTAAGTTATTTAGAAAAAGAAATATCTCTGGATTGAAACCAAAGACCTAATAGGAAAACAAATATAAGAGATAAATGTATACATGTGCTGACGTGTGTCTTGCTTAGAGGGTTTTTGTTGTCTTAGCACCTTAAAAAAGATCAATATTTTTTTCTAAGTTGAAATGAAAGGTGATTTTAATGCTAGCCCATTCTTTCTGTGTCCACCTAAGGTGACCTTGTGATTTATAACTAGAGCTTCCGCTGCTCATAGTTGATGCATCGGTTCCTCTTTGTGCAATACAGGTTCAGGGGGTAACTTTAGAGCCAGCTATAGACTTTGTTGACCTTAAGTCACACAACCTGGAGGTTCTCCTGAGCCTATGTGGCTTTATTGGTCATAGCAGTATGACAGTTTCTCATGAAGATGTAACGGAAGGCCTGAAGGTCATCCACAATATCCAGAGGTTCCGGAATCGGCCTTTATTAGCTAGTATTTCCCCAGACGTCCTGCTCTCCTTTCCCAATATTATCTGTTACAGATAAAATGTATAGAAACTTTCCCTTAGAAAAAAGTATTTTATTCATGTATACTAAAAGTGCACTAATTTCATACTTACAATCAGGCAGTGCACTTAGTTTACTTATTCTAAACTATATTTCATTTACTTAACAATAGTATAGTCAAGTGTACTTGACTATACTATTGTTTACTTTATTGTTTATTAAAGTATACTTTAGTAAACTTAAAAATGTCCCAATTTAGTTCGAAGAAGTATTACTTTAGTAATACCTCAAGTACACTAAAAGTACATTGTTCGGTATACTTTCTAAACTTGTACTTAAGTATTCTTAATAGAATTTACTTCAAGCATACTACTTTTTGCTACACACATGCTGCCATTCTGGTAACTTTAGCAGTTCAATTTAAGGGGGCTCAAATAAACAGATGAAGGAAAGAAGGTCTTTTGTCTGAAATTTGACTTTCAGATTTTCTAGTTTCTCTAACCTAAAATAAAGTGTCTTATAGATCATTATGCATCTTTATATTCCTCAGAACTTGAGGGAACCGCATCACAGTATAGAACATTGATCATCTCTATCTAACCTCATCTTAACATCTTCCTCAGGCACCTTCCTCTTTTCTGAAAATACCCTCAAATGTAACCAGAAAGATATAATGGTAACATCACCAGACATTAAGCTATGTCGGGTAGTTTAAAACATGAACAACAAACTTTACTAATCGATTGTTTTAAGATAATTACTTCTTGATGGTGGTTAGATTGTCATGTTGTCCCCAAATAAAACAGATCAAGTATATATACTGTGATAACGTTTGCAGAAAAGGTTTATTGGCTTCAGTTTTTCCAACATTGTAAGTAAATGGTAAAATTAAGCACAGACTTGTTTACAATTGTTTTTGTCCTCCTTTCTTATGTATTTGCCACTTTTATAAGCTCTTAGAATAATGTTCCTCTTCTCTTAAAATATCCAGCAGAGCTTTGCAGGAAAAAACTCAGAAGTCACACAGCAAAGAGGGAAATAATGGAAGTGTGTGGGCGCGTGTGTGTTGGAAGTGATATTCCTGATGAAAGACAGCAAAAAGTCTGTTTGTGTCAGTCACAGAACACTTGAGTCACCTCGGAAACCTTGCAAGGAGGGGAATTACTGATGAAGATAATCACGCCTAGTTGCATCCAATCAGATAAAATGTCACATTACCATCTGTTTATGTCAGAGGCTTCCCACAGGCTGCTAATATAGTACTGATCAATCCCTCTTTTACTTTGTAATATATTTAATTGTTCCCTGATTAGACTTCCACGTCATAGATTGTGAGTGAGAAAGGCTTATACGCATTTCAGAGCAGGAAAGTTACACCAGACATATGTGCTGAACATATGTGCTGCTGATTGTGTATATTGTGTGTCCTGGCTGAGCTGAGCTGGACTGAGCTGAGCTGCAGGGCGTAACCATCATCCTTCAGCCTGAGTGGAAGTGCCAATGGGGACTGGGAGTGGTGATAAATGGTGCTCTCTCCACGAGGATGAAGCTGAGGACACATACAGGCGTGCACACAGTAACATATTTGAGTCCAAGGAAAGGAGGGAGAGGAGATATCAGCTCTGTTTCAATGCCGGCTCCCTGGGCACAAAGTGGGTCGGTTTGTCGACTCGTTTTAAATTGAGCTATCAGGGGCTTTGAGCTACAGGAGCGCTGCGCCCCTGAACTCTACAAATCAACCTTATTTTGATTAAGCTGGCAGGGCGGTAGGATCATAGAAGTGGGCAGCTCCCAGTAGCGGAGAACAGACGTCTGTGGTCGCACTGGGCAGCTCTTTGGGGACAGCATTAAGAGAAGGTGCTTAACTAAATATACTCTTTTACACATCACTCTCAAGAGGATCTAATTTTTCACACTTAATTCCCGACGAATCCTTTTCCAATGTACTGGCTTAAATGGTATGTGAGAAAAAACGTTTTTTTCTTTCTAATTCTTTCATCCCATTCTGGTTTTTCCCTCTGCATCTAACAGGATCCTTTGCAGTACAGCACATTTTCAGCGTTTAGGGTTAAAGTTCAGCTGCTATTTCCCAAAAGAAGCAATTAAGTTTGCTTCAGAAGGAAATCTCACGTCATGAAAGACAAAGACATGGTGGATTTAATAAGCTGTTAATAATACAAATTTCTGGGGGGGGGGAGAAAAAGAATTAGAGAATATACTTCTGCCAATTTCAGAGACAATTTCTGGATAATCACACGCTGAATTTAAAAACAGCATCATTAGCAGCCAGTCATACAAAGCGTTAGCAGACCTTCAGCTCTAACAGGTTAAAGTAGGTTGGGATGAAAGTTTCCTTGACTGTCATTTAAAGTCCTATTCTGCTTTTTTTCAGTTGCGTTATTATTTTTTTTTTCAGCATCACCATTTTAATTATTTTAACTCAGTTTTTCCTTTCATCTTTCTTTAGAGAATCAAAAAACAGTTTTATAACTGATCTCACACACTGCAAAAAATGTAAATCTAAGAGCGTTTTCTGTTCAATTGAGGAGGTAAGTGAGAG